AATACCAGTTTCCCTTTTCCTTATTTTAGTGCTAAATCCTGTTAGATTATATTTTAGTTCTAGAGTAGTGATTCTCAACCTTCCTAATACGACCCTTTAAAACAATTCCTCATGTTGTGGTGACCCCCGACCATAAAATTATTTTGTTACTATTTCATAGCTGTAATGTTGCTACCATCATGAATCATAATGTAAACATCTGATATGTAACGTGGGGGTTGTGACCTACAGGTTGAGAACAACTATTCTAAAGAAACGCATGTAGACATGTACACAGGTTTTGGTGCTAGTGATCACACGGTACACCACTAACCACAAGGCTTAGTAACAACTGTATTTAATAATTTCGTGCTGATCACATTGAAGTAACATTTAAATATATTGAATTATTATTATAATTGAAGTTGAAAAGGGAGCCATTAATACTGATGCACCAACCATATAAAATGAGTTTGGTAATAGCACCAATTATAAAGCATCAGCCAAATGTGCATGCCTATAATCCTAGTTGCCAAGGAGGCTGAGATAGGGTAAACAGGCCTTCCTGAAATACTCGAAATCCTGTCTCAAAAGCATGTCTGAAGCCCTGGCTTCAACTCCTAATACCACTAAAAATAATATCAGATTTGTGGCCCCTCTTTTGTCTTTCACATCCACTGTTCTCATCAACTATGGATATCCTTTGTTTCTTTACTGATCAGTCTAAAACAACAAACTGGACCTCATAAAGTTAGGACCCTAACCATCACTTTATATACAATAATAGTCTTAGTTACTGTTTTTTTTGCTTTGAAGAGACACTATGACCAAAGCAACTCTTAGAAAAGAAAGCATTTACTTGGGGAATTGCTTAACAGTTTTAGAGAGTGAGTACATGATCATGACAGGAGGCATACAGGCGTGGTGAAGGAGCAGCTGAGAGATTTATATCCTGATCCATGGGTCTCAGGGTTACACTGAATCTGGCATGAGCTTTCAAAGCCTCAAAGCTCACCCCAGCAACACACCTCCTCCAACAAGGCCACACCTCCTAATCCTCCCCCAAACAGTCTACCAGTTGGGGACTAGGCATTCAGATATGTGAGCCTATAGAAGCCATTCTCATTCAAACCACCACATCCCAGGCCCTGGCCTCCAAAGGCTTATAGCCATATCAAAATGCAGAATCTCTTCAGTCCAGCTTCAAAATCCCCCATAGTCTTTGAGTCTCAATACTATGCAAAGTCCATGTCTCTTGGGCCTCAAGGAAGTCTCTCAACTGTAACCCTATGTAAAAGCAATAAGCAAATCACATAGTCCAACATACAATGGCCCAGAATATACATTACTGTTCTTCAAGGGAGGCAAGGGAACATAATGAAGAATCGGCAGAGCAAACTCCAAATCCTGTCTCTCTGTGTCCTATGGCAAAGGACTTCGGTGACTCTTCTTCCCTCATCTTTGCTGACTACAACATTCTCTCTCTCGGGCCGATTCTACAGTTTTCCTTGACAGGTTTCCCACAGCTCAGGCATCTCCAAGGCAATCTAGGCTTCACCTTCACAGCTTCATGAAATGGCTGGTCTCTCTAGGCCTCCATGCAGGGACTCCCCTGCCACAAGCGTGGCCTCAGTGGCTTTTCTCAGCTGTGGAGGAAGATTCCATAATCTCTTTTCTGTATCCTGGACACCAATGCCAAAAACACATGACCCAAACTGCCAAATTCTGTTTTCTGGTTCTGGAACCTGGCCCCTCCTTGAATTATATTTGCATAAACTTTCCATTGTTGATGATTTTCTTTGTTCCTTAAATTTTGCTTTAGATACTTTTCACAAGTTGGAAGCTTAGCTGGATGGAGTCTTGCCCTGAGGCAATCAGGCATTCCCATCATTCCATTTTGAATCAGGCCTTTAAACCTTTTATGTCCTTGAGCACGGGGCTTGGCTGTAACAAGACGTTCCCTGGTGCTCTTTTGCTCCTCAAACTGTACATTTTGTATTTCTCTTTACGTCCTAATCCACAAGCAGAGGATGGCACTGAGCCTGGCATGGGCTTATGAAACCTCAAAGTCCACTCCCCAGTGACAACCTCCTCCAACAAGGCCACATCTCCTAACCCTTCCCAAAACAGTCCACCAACTTGGCACTAGACATTCACATAGAGGAGCCTATGGGGGCGTTCTCATTCAAATGCCACAAATGACTATGGTAGGAAAAACGAAAAACGACATCTGTAAACATGTATGAGCCAGTGGAAATATAGTATGGTGTTGTGCCATCTTCCTTGATGAGAAACTATTAAAAAATACAAATTCTGGCCAGGCATTATACACACATCAATGAGAGACCAAAGGAATGATTCCACTCATGTCAAGACTGGTAAACCAGGTGTTAATATTCTGATCCGCCCCTTGAAATCCTGCCCCTTGGCTCCTCCCTGCGTGTAAAAGGAAAAACTCCGCCCCTTCTCTCTCTTCTGCTTTCCTCCCATGAAGTGTGCACCCTCATCCTTTTCTCTCTCTCTCTCTCTCTCTCTCTCTCTCTCTCTCTCTCTCTCTCTCTCTCTCTCTCTCCCTCCCTCCCTCCCTCCCTCCTTTCTCCCTTCTCTCTCCCTCACCACCACCACCAAATAAAACTCTTCACTGAGCTCTGTCTGTCTGCATGGCATCTCTGTCTCACCTGCCATGGGGCACCTTGGCTCTCTACCTGCCACCTAGCATGCAATATCACAACATTGGCGCCCAACGGAGCATGGGTAACCCCCAAACAGCTACATCCCTGAAATGCCCCACACTAGCATGGATGACAATGTTCCCATAGCTACATGAATGGACTCCCCGTCTAGTTATCATTCTATTTCTGTATTCTCTTAACATTTTCCAAGACCTTGTGTAGCTGGGGCAGAATTACGGGCATCTGGGAGAGGCATCAGAGGGAGTGACTAGAATCTTAGGAGAGTCTCAAAAGGGAAAGCTAACAGCCCCAGCTGTGTACGGTGGGGGTGTCTTGTACTTGAGGTAATCACACCTGTTCTCTTAGTGGACAACATTCTGCAACACTGGTACACTAGGAAATAATAGGCAGTGACAGGTTATGGTAGAATGTCTCCTCAAGTGGGAAGCAAAACATAGGCAGCGTGTAGAAGTAAACGGGTGTCGCCCTCTTCTACGCTCTGGACTCCTGTCAACACATGTGATCTCAAGACTGTTAATTTATTTGGAGCATATGACATCTTTTAGGGACAGCATAGCAAAGTATTTCATCACCCGGTCCAAAACCAAACCAGTAGAACTGTCCATCATCCTACAAGGCCAGAGTCTGGAAGATAGAATAGTTGATAGGATTGGTGGATCCTCCAGCTATCAGGTTCACATTCACAGGGAAAAGGTTCTGATAAGAACTGTTGTGTGGAACACTGCTTAAGTATATATATATACAAAGCATTCAGGAAGGCCACAGATGAAGTGAAGTGTATGACAGATAATGCAGGGAAAGCAGTCCAAACACAATAATTATTTAAGAGCAAATTGCTACCTTCTTCGTGATAGTTGGATTGATGCCCTTGTAATCAGACCTGTCTTTTGGGCTGCTTAATACTATAGCACAGGTCAAGTCAGCCATTAGAATTACTAAGCAGTGGTGCTAACCAATCAGTCCTGGGAAGGGAAAGACAGTTAAGTGTACATGTGTGTCTTTGTTCTTATCACCATGGCTACTGTATTAGTGGATCCACAGAGCAAACACAGCTGGGGGAAAAGAAAGTTGCTGTGGTAAGCTCTTCTTGGTGGCAATGCTTTTGACTCCAAGACAGGGTTTAATGCAGTAACTCATCTAACCAGCCATGGATTTGGTTTGTTTCCTAATAATGGGGTGGGAGAGGGGACACTTTGCATTATTTGTCATGTATAAAGGTTTTTACCTATATATATTGGTTTTTCGAGACAGGGTTTCTCTGTGTAGCTTTGCGCCTTTCCTGGAACTCGCTTTGGAGACCAGGCTGGCCTCGAACTCACAGAGATCCGCCTGGCTCTGCCTCCCGAGAGCTGGGATTAAAGGTATGTGCCACCACCGCCCAGCCTACCTCAATATTTTTAAAAAGATTTTTTGTATGAGTGTTTTGCTGGCATGTATGTATATATGTATGCATGTCATGTGCATGCCTACTGCCAACAAAGTCCAGAAGAGGCTGTCAGACACTCTGGAACAGGAGTTACAAACTTGTGAGTTGCCCTGTGGGTGCTGGGACTAGAACCCAGGTCCTCTGAAAGAGAAGCCATCTCTCTAGTCCCTCAGTATTTTTAATTTTTTTTTTTTTAAAGATCCCTGACGTGGAACAGTCTCAATAATCAATTTGCATGACTGGATATTCTGAACTTACTAAAATTTTATTTTCAAAATATGGGAACATTCAATGTAATTAAATGTGTTTGGTATTTTTAACTACAGATTTATGGAGTAATATTTTGGCACACCTACGTGGCATGTGATGATGAAACTTTTAAAAACCACTAGTATCAGCCGGGCGGCGGTGGCACACGCCTTTAATCCCAGCACTCAGGAGGCAGAGAGCCAGGGGGATCTCTGAGTTCAAGGCCAGCCTGGTTTACAGAGCGAGATCCAGGACAGACACCAAAACTACACAGAGAAAAACCTGTCTCGAAAAACCAAAAAACCAAAACCAAAACAACAAAAAACCCTAGTATCTAGTGATTCAATATTAATACATGTCTAAAAAACGTAATGATCAGATTGGGGTGATTCATGTCTCCATCTCCTTGCTGGACTTGGAACTTCCCTCTTCTAGAACTTGTTACTTCCGTGCAGGCTTTCAGTTTTGTCCTTAAGTCCATCGGAATAGCTAGGAGCGATCGCCAGGGGATCCGCGGGATAAAGGTTGGGGAAGCAGCTATGCCTGTCCAAATTACAGGAAGCACCCATAACCCGCCAGTCAATCTGGCGGACACAGCGAAGCTCCGCCCAACTCTGCTTTCGCTGACGCCTGCGCAGACCGCGCGGGTTCCCGGTGGGGTCGGCGGTAGCCCCGCCCACTTGGCTGCGCGTGCGCAGACGCTGCGGGAGGCGGCGGTATGAGCTCCACGGTGCCTTCGGGGTCTTTGGTGGCCTCCCTCTGGAGAGCAACAAGTAAGGCGATCCGCCCGGGGTCCCGAGACTCGGAAACCCGCGGGGGAAGCCGGCTTCTGATAGGGGAAGACGCCGGTGCGGAGACCCAACTGCGGTGCACCAGGACCGCGGGGTTCCGAGCCTTTGGGTGTGCTTGGAGGAGGGGCGCGGACTTTGCGGGTGGTTTGCGAGGAGCCGCTCGCACTTAGATGCCGCTGGGAACGTATGGAGAAGAAGGACACTTCGGGGATGAGTGTCATTCATTTACTTGTTTGCTTACCTCAAGAATAATTTGTACCCGGCAGAGGGTGCATGCCTTTAGTCCAGCACTAGGCATGCAGAGGCAGGAGGATCTTTGAGTTCAAGGTCAGCCTGGTCTAAATGTTCTCTAAGCGAAAAGTCAGATAAATGAGTACATATAACGAAAAGTACACGAAGCCAAGAACTGTTAGAAGAGATGCCTGCTTGCTTTCTGTAGAAACCAACGTTTTTCAGAACTGTTGCATTATTTCTCAGTATATTCCTCAATTAGCATCCCAAAGAGGGTGCAGAATGTAAGTTTAATTGATGCCATCCCTGGGATGTTACGTAAACTGAAGACAGAATTACTGCTTTCTTAACAAATGGCCCCAATTTTTTTTTATTAAACTTTCTAGTTTTTCCCTTCAAATACTTGATACCTGTTGGTTGTTCAAATCTTAAATGATCTATACAATAAATATTATAGAAAATGAAGGGCTTGCTCCAAACCCTTAGGTGATAACTTTAGTGTTTATCCAGCATTCTGCTGTTTTTAAACAATTATGTTACGTTTGATACCAGAAATTATGTATAGACACACATGACCCATGTATAAAGTATAAAGCAAAAGGAACTCAATGAACCCATTTTCTCATGAAAGTGGTTCGATGCAGTTTGCAATCATTGCTTTTTTTTTTCAACTACTCATATTTCAAGATCACTCCATATAGAAATGTGAGGTGGTATCTTTTACCTGTGTATGACAAATTTTCCATTCTCCTTATGGATACTTGGGCAGTACTAGAAACACCAGCATTGAGTGCTACACCTTCTGGTTTGTGTTCCCCATGCCCCAGCACAAGATGTAAGTTCCTAAAGGATGCTGTTTTATTGATTTTCCTGTCAGGGTTGGGGCAAGCCAACTGCTTCCTTATCCAAGGAATTGAAATTAAAGCCCACACAGATTGCAGAATAGCAACGAAACTTTGTTTGAATTCTTACACTGCAGGAGAGCAGAAGGCCTGTAGTAGAATATTATTTTAAGGTCTGTTACTTTTTGTTTATGTTGCATTTGTTTAACTCTGTGAAGATATGTTACTGTACCTGTCTAAAACACCTGATGGTCTAATAAAGAACTGGCCAATAGCAAGTCAGGAGAAAGGCTAGGCGGGGCTGGCAGGCAGAGAGAATTTATAGAGGGAGAAATCTGGGAGGAGGGCTAGGTCTAGCAGCCAGAGAAGGAGGTGGACACCAGGGACCAGCCACCCAGCTCCACAGCCAGCCATGGATTAAGAAATAAAAAAAGATATACAGGAATAGAAAAGGAAATGCCTGGAGGCAAAAGGTAGTTGGGATAAGTTAAGAAAAGCTGGCTAGAAACTAAGCCAAGCTAAGGCCAGGCATTCATAATTAATAATAAGCCTCTGTGTGTAAATTTATTTGGGAGCTGAGTGGCAGGCCCCCCAAAAGAGCAAAAAAAAGAAAAACCTCCAACAACACAAGCCACAATGAAGAAGGGCCAGAGTGTGTTGCGTAGGGTCTCTTTAATGGGGTGTACAGGGAAGAGGGGGCTGGTTACTAAGGAGTTGGGGTGGTTCTCATTTAAATTGATATACCTAGGTAGCACAATCATTTTCTGTATATGTTCCTTCTTATAATGCATCTTACTTCAGTCATGCTTGCCAAAATAAACATGATGGTAAATAGAAGATTTTCCTTTTTTAAAAAAAATCACTTTTAGGGCACAGTTTTACCTTACTGGGTAAGCACCCAAGCCCAGTGTAGGACCGATGGGCCTTTCTGGTCCTGTACTGGAACATGAGGAGAGTACAACTAAATAGAATCTGTATAAGTTTCCTGTTGAGAAAGGAGGAAAATCCCATGCTTCAGAGAGGGATGTACGTGCATGCATCCTGGTGCTGTTGGTCCTGGGGGAGGGGGAGGCTTATGTTGCTAGGTGCATCTCTTGGAGAAAGGTGTGTGTGCATAGTGTGTACAGGTGAGGAAATTAGGCTGCCAAGTGCATTATTGGAAAAGGACCGTGTGCATATTCCAAACCAGACGGAGTCCTAGGTTACTAAACTATTCCCTGTATTTGCCCACCTCCTTACTTTATAGCTCTTTGCAAACTTGTAGCACTGGTTATCTCAAAGGAAGGGAAATAGCTGTGTAGAATGTAGGCATTCAGGAAAGGATTTTCGCTGGATGCCATTTGTCCCTTTTGAATTAATGCTAAATGGTCAAAAACGCAAGTAGGCAAAATTAGTCAATTTTTAAAAAGTAAAATTTTTTTTTTCTCCATTAGGATCCTCCCTTCTGAATCATTCTTTGAGGAAGGTGAGTTATGGAGAAGGAAAATCTGAACTTGGGAAGCAACCTCTTAAGAAGTCCAAGTTGCCAGTGGGTCGTTTTGATGCGCCCGAGGACTCGAACTTAGAGAGGGAGCCACTCAAGAGTGAGTAGATTCAACCACTGTCGGTGGGTGGGTGCCTAACATAGCAAAGAAAATGTCCATTACTAGAAAATGGATGCTAGAAGTGAGATGTGCTCTTCGTTGTTATTACCAGTTACAAAGGATATTTCAGTGAGTAAAAATACCACGTGGACTATCTGTATGTGGGGTTGTTAACTTCCTTAAAAAGGTTTTGGGTTGGTGAGATGCCTCCCGGAGTGTAGATTCCAGCACTCTTGTGCTAATAGCCATGGCAGCCCACAGAAGATACAGGGAATCCCTGGGGCCAGCTGGCTACCTAGACCATCTGAAATGAAAGACCTTGCTTCAATATATAAGATGGAGAGCAATCAACGGAGAGACCTGAAGTCATTCTCTGACCTCTGCATGCACACGCACACACAAGTGCGTGGACGCACACACACAAGAGCACACGTACATCACACGTGCATTCACATAAGCATACCCATGCAAGCCCCACAAAAAGGTGTTTCTAAAGCTAGAAATGGTGGCCCATGTCTGGAATACCAGCACTCTGGAAACTGATGCCAGAGAATCAGGAACTGAACAACATAGACTGTCTCAAAGGAAGGGTTTCTGAGTTTTAGTACTTATTTGTTACTTGGGGGGGTTTTGTTTGTTTGTTTTTACTATACTCCCCCCACCTAGCTGAGGACCAAACCCAGGACCTTGCGCTTGCTAGGCAAGCCCTCTACCACTGAGCTAAATCCCCAACCCTTTACTATACTTTCATTATTCAAAAGGTAAAACATAGAAATTGGTATCCTCTGTGATACAAATAACAAGCCTTTGTTTGTTGATGAAACTATCTGCTGTGAAAAGACCAGCTGCAGCATGCAGTAGATCGTGCTGAATGTACAGGGAAAAGCCGAGGAGTCAGGGCACAGTGAAGATGCTGGGCCTTAGAAAAGGGTGGAACACAGAACTGCATAGTGAAGAGAAGACATCTCTCATTCTCTCAACTCTAATAACCTTCCTTCCTAGCTCCCTGTCATCTGTCCACTGGACAGAAAGTGGCATCTGAAGGGACACTAGCCCACTGGAGCATGTGCCTCTGGCCGACCTTGCCCTTCTCCCCCATTACCTCTAACTTGATAAAAGCCCTTAGATTGCATTCCTGAAGCTAGCCCCCAAGGTCCATTCCCTTATTGGCCACTTCCTCCTCCTGAGGCTGACTACTAAGGTCCAGTTATCAAAGTATTGAAGTCCAACCGTCAAAAGCCCCCTTTGGCTGACCTAATTAACATGCCCAATTAAAATTAAACACCTCATCCTAACACGGGATTCCCTTGTACCTGTATAAACTGCCATTTTCCTATGTGCCACGTCTGTCTCCCCTCTATCCAGAGGCGGTCCTTGGTCCTCTAGGACAAATACCCTTCCCCCTTTCCCTTGTTACCTTCCCCCTCTCCCTGGTCCTCTCTCTCCTGTCTTTGTCTCTTATTCCCCACCCTCTGTCCCCTGGGGCTGAGAACTTGGTCTTGGAGGTCCTGAGCTGGTACTTTCCCTTTCTTTGAGGGAGGTAATAGACTAAATACAATTTATCATTGTTGTTTTCTTTTTTTTATTTTATGACTTTATGCATATGTGTTTGTGTCTGTCTCTTTGTGTTGGGGGTCTGTGCATGCAGCCAGAATCATTGGATTTCCTGGAGCTGGAGTTATAACAGTTGTGAGTCACCTGCATGGACACTAGGAACCAAATTGTGGTTCTCTAAGCCTTGGCTCCAGCCTGGTTCCTATGTTCATTGTATTGGGTGACTTTTCATGGGGAGACATTTAAGAAATCAGTTCATCCCAGATGGGGCACCAGTAGGCCAAAAGAGTGATTCTGTCTAATTGGTAAGTCGATGGATTTATTGGGGTTTCTGACAGGAGCATGGAAAAGGGGATGTACTGGTTACCTTTTCTTACTGCAGTGACAAAATTCTTGACAAAAGCGACTGAGGGAAGAGAGGGTCTCTTTTGGCTCATAGTTGAAGAGGGGGTGCAGCCTGTCGTGACAGGAAGGCATGGTGGCAGGAGCGTGAGGTGACAGTCACATCGTGTCTGTTGTCAGGAAGCAGAGAGAGGCAAATGCTGGTGCTCAGCTTGCTTTCTGGTTTTCAGGATCCCAGGCATAGGATGGGGTGGACGTTCAGGGTGGATCCCTCCTCCTCTCTGGAAGCTCTCACACAGAAACAACCAGAGATGTCTCCTGGGTCACTTTCCATCTTGTCCAGTTGACGGTTGAGATGAGCGATCACACGAGGCTGCTTACAGGAATATGTGCCAAACAAAAGCAGGAAAAGAGTTCATTCTGGCTTACGATTCTGGAGGCTGAAATGCTAAAAGCCTAGTGCTGGCATCTGGGCTTCAGCATGGCTTCCAAATCTTCCCAGTTAGATAGAGATCAGAAGACAGAACTGCCTAGACAGTGTGTGTCAGTAAATACGCATCTTCATTTTTTTTTTTTTTTTTTTTTTTGGTTTTTCGAGACAGGGTTTCTCTGTGTAGCTTTGCGCCTTTCCTGGAACTCGCTTTGGAGACCAGGCTGGCCTCGAACTCACAAAGATCCGCCTGCCTCTGCCTCCCGAGTGCTGGGATTAAAGGCGTGCGCCACCACCGCCCGGCGCATCTTCATTTTTTAATGCCTTGTGATCACATTAAAAACCACTGTTCCTTAGAAAATGCTAACAACCCGGTGCCAGTAGACACCGTTCAACCTGACCTGAACAGTCAACGACCTTAGGCAGTGTTAACTACTGCTTCTGGAAGTTTCCAGTTCAGCTTCTGTTTTGCTTTCTTCGTCTTCTCATCCATTGTTTCTGCCATTTCTTCCTGGATTCCAGGAGGCTGCCACAGTAGGATAGTGGTTGCTAGGGCAACCTAGGATACATTACCAGACTCTGTCTCATGATAGATAGATAGATGGATGGATAGATAGATAGATAGATAGATAGATAGATAGATAGATAGATCGGTCAACATAGGATACATTACCAGACTCTGTCTCATGATAGATAGATAGATAGATAGATAGAGAGATAGAGAGATAGAGAGATAGAGAGATAGATAGAGAGATCGGTCAACATAGGATACATTACCAGACTCTGTCTCATGATAGATAGATAGATAGATAGATAGATAGATAGATAGATGGATAGATAGATAGATCGGTCAACCTAGGATACATTACCAGACTCTGTCTCATGATAGATAGATAGATAGATAGATAGATAGATAGATAGATAGATAGATAGATAGATAGATAGATCGGTCAACCTAGGATACATTACCAGACTCTGTCTCATGATAGATAGATAGATAGATAGATAGATAGATAGATAGATAGATAGATAGATAGATAGATCGGTCAACCTAGGATACATTACCAGACTCTGTCTCATGATACATAGATAGATAGATAGATAGATAGATAGATAGATAGATAGATAGATGGATGGATAGATAGATCGGTCAACATAGGATACATTACCAGACTCTGTCTCATGATAGATAGATAGATAGATAGATAGATAGATAGATAGATAGATAGATAGAGATAGATAGATAGATAGATAGATAGATAGATAGATAGATAGATAGATAGATAGATCGGTCAACATAGGATACATTACCAGACTCTGTCTCATGATACATAGATAGATAGATAGATAGATAGATAGATAGATAGATAGATAGATAGATAGATAGATCGGTCAACATAGGATACATTACCAGACTCTGTCTCATGATAGATAGATAGATAGATAGATAGATAGATAGATAGATAGATAGATAGATAGATCGGTCAACATAGGATACATTACCAGACTCTGTCTCATGATAGATAGATAGATAGATAGATAGATAGATAGATAGATAGATAGATAGATCGGTCAACATAGGATACATTACCAGACTCTGTCTCATGATAGATAGATAGATAGATAGATAGATAGATAGATAGATAGATAGATAGATAGAAAGATGGATGGATGGATGATGGATGGATGGATGGATAGGTGGATGGATGAATGGATGGATGATGGATGGATGGGTGGATGATAGATAGATAGATAGATAGATAGATAGATAGATAGATAGATGATTGATAGATGGATGATGGATAGGTGGATGATAGATAAATAGATAATTGATAGATGAATGGATGGATGGATAGATGATGTATGGATGGATGAATGGTGGATGGTAGGTAGATAGATAAATAGACAGGGTAAATGGAAGATAAGATACATAGCTGTCTATGAGCATCTGATGGGAATTAGCATAAAAGGTGGGGCAAATGAAATTTAAAGGAAAAATAAAACCGTAACAAGTACATGTGCTAGGGAGATGTTTAAGAGAGAGCAAGGTATGGCCATAGAAGAAGAGATTAGAGAACATGGCACATGTCAGGCACAGCTGAGTGGCCTCAGCGTAAAGTGTAAATAGTAGATTAACAAATAGAATGTCGGGCTCGTTCATGTCAGATCTGAGCGTTAAGGGCCAGCAAGCTAGCTCAGCAGATAAAGATGCTTATACTGAGCCCAACAGCCTGACTTCAGTCCCAGGGACTCCACTGTAGGAGAGAAGAGTTCCTGAATATTTCCATCTGACCTCAGCACTCACATCGCAGCACCTACACCAAACACAACACACGTATACACACGCACACAAGCAATAGATGTAATTAAAACAATTTTTTAAAGCTGAGAGTGGTCAGTAAGGGAACTGAGGGTAGCTCATTGGGAGAGCGCTGGTTTAACAGGCATGGAGCCCTGGCCTCATTCTAAGTCCATAAATCCAACATGGCGGCGCATGCCTGTAATTCCAGCACTAGTGAGACAGGAGGGTCAGAAGTTGAAGGCAGGCAGCCTGGGCTACATGAAGTCCTGTCTCAGGAAGTAAATAAAGACGTTTTGGTGAGGTTTTTGTTTGTTAGTCTGTCTTATTTTTTCTCTTTTCTTTCTTAGATGATCTCACTGTGTAGCCCTAGCTGGCCTGAAATTCCCTATGTAGACCAGGCTGGCCTCCAACCTACAGAGATCCTCCTGATTCTGCCTCTCAAGTGTTTGGATTAAAGGCGTATACCACCACATATAGTCAAATTTTTAAAAATATATTGGGCTGGAGATTGTCTAGCCAGCTCTATTAAAGTGTGATTTAAATACCCAGTTCTGTGAGTTTTCACAAATGTTTGCGGTCATGTAAACAACATTAAGTATAAGTTTTCTTATTCCCTACAGAGTTATCTTTTGCTTATTTTTAATCAGCCCTATCCCCACCTCTCCCCACAACCATTGGTCCATTCTCGATCCCTGTAGTTTCGCTTCTTAGAGGATTTTATGTAAATGAGAGAATGCCTAGTCTTTCGTGCCTGGCATCCTTCACTCAGTCTACTGCGGAAGAGATCGGTTAGAAAGAGGCTCCGCTTCCGTGCACACGTGGCTGGAGATGTAAGAGGCAGAGCGCAGATGGTACAGCACGTCACCACAGTGTTAAGAGTGAGCCGCTGAGAGTGTCAGGCTGGTGGCAACAGAAGGAGGAAGCGTCAGGAGACTTCCGGGTATGACAAATGCAAAGGAGAGGAGAAAAGGGAAGACGGGATGTGTGGTCGGGGAGGAGAGCTCAAGAGTGAGAGCTGAAGAAGAAACATTCCGGGCATAAGAAAGTCCAGTGGGAGTCCCAAGTGAGACGAGCCTCCTTCTAAGAGCCTCTGTGGCCTCTGTGTTTGATGGTCCCTGACGTGGATATTGAGATGATGGAGAGTGGGGTGGGGAGGGATGACACTATAATCCGATATTCATCTTTCCGGAGCAAGATAGAAAAGTCTATGAGTTATTACAAACTAGAGGCAAGAATTGGACAGAGGAGTGGTGGGGGATTCAGCAGAGGAAAGTCTATCAAGGTTTGGTCAGCAATGAGAAGGAGCATCTCAGTGTGTGCATACAATCATGTGTGTGTGTGTGCACATACGTGTGTATGTTGTATGTTCGTGTGTGTGTGTGTGTGTGTGTGTGTGTGTGTGTGTGTGTGTGTAGTAAGGGTCTTGTGTGTGTATGTGTTGAGGGTCTCACTGTGTGTGTGTGTGTGTGTGTGCGTGTGTAGTAAATGTGTGTGTATGTGTATGTGTAGTGAGGGTCTTGTGTGTGTATATGTTAAGGGTGTGTGTGTGTGTGTGTGTGTGTGTGTGTGTGTGTGTGTGTGTGTGTGTGTAGTAAGAGTCTGTGTGTGTGTAGTAAGGATCTCATGTTCTAGAATAACCTGGAACTACTGGCCTCAAGAACTTCTCCTGCCTTCATTTCCTGAATAACTGGGACTACAAGCATACTACTGAATCTGGCTCAGCATGTTCTTTTTTCCTGGTACTGTTAAAGCCCTGACCCCAGATGGAGGGTATTTGGAGATAATTAGGTTCGGATCATATGGGTGAGGACTTCGTGATGGGACTAGTACCCTTATGAGAAAGACACTGGAAACCTCTCTGCCTCCCTCTTTTCCATGTGACAATTCATAAAGAAGGGACATCCCACAGTCAGAAAGAGGGCCCTCACTCCAACCAACCACACCCCATCGAGACTTCCATTGCATAAGCCACGAAGTCTGTTTTGTCTCAGCATTCCCAGCTAACTACCACACCCAGAGTCCCAGGAACGGGGCGGTGGGGTGGGGGGCGGCAAAGAAGAGCGTCCATTACCGGCTTTCAGGGGGATCACAGAAGTTCCCTGAAAACAGAATGATGACATGGGTATGGGAGAGTTAGGCACAGGGCAGCAAAGATAAAGATTGAAGAAATATTTGCAAAGTTTCAAGGTGAAGTTCTGTATCTTCTTTGGTGAGTCTGTAGAGGGGCTGCATAATTTGGGGCAATGATCTTTTAGTTTTTCAAAAATACACCACTTGAGATCGGAGGTTCTTTCTAACAGCTGGTTACTCATCTGTTCTCTCTATACACAAAGCAGTACAGCATGTGGGTTTCAGTGCAGGCTCAGTCTTACTGTGTGACATTGAACGACTTTGTATACCTGTAACATGGGGGCAGTATTGTTTCCTGACTCATAGAGTTATTATGTGGACTGAGTAAGTTAACGTGTGTAAAGTGCTGAGAATTGAAAGCCCAGTATCAGGTTATAATAGAAGGATCATTTGACCCTCAGCATTTAACACCAACCCAGGCAGTATTAGTGACACCTACCATCAAACAGTAATCAATCAAATTAATTGATTAATTAAAAATTAAAATCCTCAGAATGTGGCTTGGTTCACAGTGAGGACTCCTATCAGGAAAATGTAGCGCATTTTTGTAATCAGACATTTCCTGTCCCAACCACCCAGTCCCAAATAAACACACAGAGATGTATATGAATTATAAATGCTCAGCTGATAACTCAGGCTTGTTACTAGCTAATTCTTACATTTCAATTAAACCATTTCTATTAATCTTTGTATTGCCACTCAGCTCAAGGCTTTACTTGTCCTCTAGCATGTTTTGCTTCCTGGATATCTGCTGGTGTCTCTCCTGACTCCACCCTCCTTTTTCCCATCATTCTCAGTTCTGCTTTCCCACCTAACTTCCTGCCCAGCTACCATCCTGTCAACTTGTTATTAACCAATGAAAGTAATGCCTATTCATCGTGTAGAAAAGGATTGTTCCTCAGCACATTTGTGTGTGTGAATGTGTGTGCATGCATGCATTGCATGTGCACGTGTTTGTTACTAGAGACTGAACTTCACTCGTGCTAAAACAAGCGTTCCGTTACCGAGTTGTATCCCCAGCCCATGAACACAGTGTTAAGACCAATGATTTCACTTATGATCGTAAAACCCATCTGCTGGAGCCAAAGCCTGTGGTAAGGAGAAATAGTGCTCACAAGTAAAACCAGTCAGCACCTGTACATACCTGTCACAGTGCTAGACCCTTCACATACATTGCCTTGTTCAGTTCAATGCTATAAGGCAAGTATGACCACCACCACCCCCCATATGCATACACCACACACATCTTACTGGAAAGAAAACGGAGACACGGAACTTGTCTCTAAACCCTTCAAGTTCAGTAAAGCTGTACTCTGTTCTCACTCCTTCCCTCCTGTTGGGTCCAGCACCACATATGAAACTACCTTTTAGTAGTTTCTAGACCTGAAAGCACTCCAAGAATTGGTGTTAGTGAAGTTGATTGAATATGAGAAATGCATATCTCAAGTGCCAGGGAAGGAAGGGGAAGAACCACATACATGACTCATTCAAAGACTGTATGATAAGCCAGGCACTCATAACCAGCTTGTGCAATCCTGTCCCCAAAACTGACCGTACGGTTTCTTCCATCTCTGCTGACTGCCTTGTTCATATCTCCTCTTCCGTAGAGTTTCCAGATGATGTTAATCCAGTTACCAAAGAAAAAGGTGGACCCAGGGGCCCGGAGCCCACACGCTATGGAGACTGGGAACGGAAAGGACGCTGTATCGACTTTTAAGTCACATTCTTTAACTGCAGAATCATTTTCTGAATGGTTTACTTCACATTTTTCTTTCTCTATATCCTTTAAGCCATGTGATGTTCATTGTGTGTTTTAAATTACATGACAGCTGTGAAGCTATATCTAGGAAGTGGAAACACTTGTCCGTTTGCACATGGTAACTTTAAGTGTGTTGGGGTAGAGAGGGCTGCAAGCCTTTGCCGTGATCTTTATCGATTCAATCAGTTGCTTATAAAATGCACATATAAATACATAATTTTTGAAGATTGTCTTTAGATTGGTATTTTATTTTGTATGTGTGAGTGTTTCTCATGCATGTAAGTATGAGCTTTGTGCCCATGAAGGCCAGAAGAAGGCATCAGATCCCCTGGTACTGGAGTTAGGGGTTGTTGTGAGTCACCCTGTGGGTGCTGGAAACTGAACCCAGATCCTCTGCAAGAGCAAGTGCTCTAAACCTCTGAGCCATCTTTCCAGCCCCTGACATTTAATGTATATTATTTTTAACTATGTTTATACATGTATGTCTGTGTATATGTGCATGTGAGTGCAGTTGCCCTAAGAAGCCAGAAGAGGGCGTCAGATTTTCTGGAGCTGTAGTTACAGGCTGTTGTGAGCCTCCTGACCTGGGCGCTGGGAATCAAACTCACGTTCTCTGCAAAAGCAGTACTCTCTGCCTTTAATCCCAGCACTGGGGAGGCAGAGGCAGGCGGATCTCTGTGAGTTCAAGGCCAGCCTGGTCTCCAAAGTGAGTTCCAGGAAAGGCGCAAAGCTACACAGAGAAACCCTGTCTCAAAAAAACAAAAACAAAAAAAAAAAAAAAAGCAGTACTCTCTCTTAACCACAGAGCCATCTTCCCAGCCCCAAGAAAATAACTTTTCCATGACTGTTGCTATGACTACGTGTGCTGATTAGTTTTTGTCAATTTTGCATAAGCTGGAGTCATTTTGGAAGAGGGAACCTCAGTTAAAAAAATGTTTCCTGGGCTGGAGAGATGGCTCAGAGGTTAAGAACACTGGCTGTTCTTCCAGAGGTCCTGAGTTCAATTCCCAGCACCCACATGGTGGCTTACAACCATCTGTAATGAGATCTGGCTCCCTCTTCTGGCCTGCAGAAATACATGCAAACAGAACTTTGTACACATAATAAATAAATAAATCTTAAAAAAAAAAAAAAAAAGAAAAGAAAAAGTTTCCATCAGATTGACCTGTGGGCAAGTCTGTGAAGCATTTTTGGTTTTTTGTTTTTTGCTTAATGACTGATGTAGGAGGGCCCAGCCTACTTTGGACAGTGCTACCATTGGGCAGGTGGTCCTGGATTGTAGGAGAAAGCAACTTGAGCTAGCCATGGAGAGCACGTTGCCAAACTGCTTCCCTCTGCTTCAGTTCCTGATCTGCTTACCCTGCTTTCCCTTCGTGATGGACTATAAACTGTAAGATGAAATAAACTCTTTCCTCTCCAGGTTGCTTGTAGTCAGTGGTTTATTAAAGCAACAGAAACCAAATTAAGACGTTAGAATAGTAGCTTTTAAAAAGTGTGTGTGTGTGTGTGTGTGTATGTATGTATGTGTGTGCGCGCACAAGAGAGAGAGTATATGTGGGCATATGTGAGGAGGTCAGACAACTTTGGGAGTTAGTCATGGTTCCAGGAATCAACCACTCAGGCCATCGAGCTTACGCAGTAAGCCTTGACCACAGTAAGCCACCTCACCGGCCCAATGGTTGCTTTTAAAATGTGGGTTAACTAATAATAATGAAGACTGCAGTAATGACACAGAATATTTCATTTGGAGTCAAATAAATTAAGAGTTCAGTCCTGGCTGCACTTCTTGCTGTCTATATAACCCTGAACCTGTTATTAAAAATGTCCTTGTATGGGCTGGAGAGATGGCTCAGAGGTTAAGAGCATCGGCTGATCTTCCAGAGGTCCTGAGTCAATTCCCAGCAACCACATGGTGGCTCACAACCATCTGTAATGAGATCTGGCGCCCTCTGCATATATGATAAATAAATCTTTAAAAAAAATGTCCTGGTACTTCTGTATCCTTTTGTGTTAATTGGAGATAATAGTAGTTGACAGGACAGATTAAATGAATAGGTGTGCATTAGGGTTCCTGAAAGAAACAGATCCACTGGGGGGAGAGGTGCACGCGTGTGTGCGTGCGTGCGTGCGTGCGTGTGTGTGTGTGTGTGTGTGTGTGCATAAAGAGATTATGAAGAATTAGTACAGGAATAGGTCCTCTCTCCACTATGTAGATTCCTGGGATTGAACTCAGGTTGTCATGCTTGGTGACAAGCGCCTTTAGCCACTCAGCCATCTTGGCAGCCCTAAGACTGAGTTTGAAAACAGCCTGGGAAGCACAGTAAGAGCCTACTCCCTTAAAGAAAAAACAAAAACAAAAGCTGAACAAAAACCAGCAAGAAGAGATCATTTCTTTCAATGCAACCTAACAGATGTCTGTCCAAGGGCAATTATTTCAGCATGTATGCCATTTTCTGCAGAACATAACACACGCCATTCATTGTGTTCACTGTTCTTAACCATGAATGTATTTTTCCAAATCACTAGGCTTCCTGTGGGAATGATTAAGAAAAGCAAAATTTGAAATATTTGAATTAAAATACTTTTATGTGAATGCACTAAAGAAGCATTAGTTAAAAATAGTGATAATATGGGTAGGTGGAATGACATGCATATTAGTCAGTGAGACATAAAATTAAGATGTAGAAAAGCAGGGGATAGAAGATTCTCTTCAGGTGAGCCGATAACTCAAAGCTTCTGCCCCAGAGCTCCCTGATAACAGGGTCCAAGCCTCTGGGCTCACCGGAAACAGCTTTTGCTCTGTGTCCTCTGTTGCAGAGGTTGGACCTTCAGCCCTCCTGGCTATGCGAATGCTTTGGAAGAGAGGGTTTGCAGAACCAATAGACAGAGTGCAGTGGGCTGACCATTGAGTGATGTGAATTGTACGTGCGAGTTGATAGGAGTGTAGGGAAACCGTTGAAGAGGATACACTTTAGTATTTTTAGATGTATTTTTGTGTGTGTGTATGAATGTTTTAGCTGCATGTATGTACGTGTACCATGTGCATGCCTGGTGCCTGAGGAGGTCAGAAGAGGACACTGGATTCCCCGAAACTGGAGTTAGAGATGCTTGGGAGCTGCCGTGTGGGTCCTGAGTATTGAACCTGGGTCCTCTGCAAGGTCAACAAGTGCTCTTAACTGCTGAGTCACCTCTCCAGCCTGTGGGTAAACATTTTTAACTTATGTCAAGAAACTAATGTGCATGTTAATTAAACTAGATTTGCTTTTGTATCAGTTATCACCTAGGAGTCAACATGAATTCCCTTTTTTGAAAAGAGATACTTTGATTTTATGTGCATTGCTCTTTCCTGCGTTGGTCTGTGCAATGTGTGCACGCGGTGCCCTTGGAGGTCAGAATAGGGTGTCCGATCCCCAGGAACTGGAGATACAAATGGTTGTGAGCCACCACCAACATTTGTTATTTTTCTTGTAGTTCTGCTAAGTAAAAATGTTTTGAAAATACTGTGTAATTTAGTCAATCTCCTAAATTAGTGAACATTTACTAAATTAACCTTCTAAAAAATGTTAAATTATTTTGAATTGTTAGTAAAAGACCATAAGAAATGAAAATTATGCTGCTTTATACTAATTATCACAATATGTGATAAAAGTTTATACACTTCCAAAGTAAGTATAAAATATACAGTAAGTAAGGCTTATTCCTTTTATCCACAGATTTGGGAGGCAGAGGCATATGGGTCTCTGTGAGTTCGAGGTGGGCCTTGTCTATATAATGAGTTCCAGGACAGCCAGGGCTATGTAGAGATACCCTGTCTCAGGGTAAAAACACACACACACACACACACACACACACACACACACACAAATGTATCTATATACACACAGTAAACAAAATCTTAAGATAAAAAAAAACCCCTTTGCTAATAACATATTTCAGGCCAGTGAAATGGCTCAGTAGCTAGAGGCACTTGCCAAGCTTAATGACCTTAGTTCAATACCCTGGACCCACATGGTAAAAGGAAAGGACCAACCACCCCAAGTTGTCCTCTGACCTCCACATGCACACACAAAATAAAGGAGTATACAAGTTTTTGTTTTAAGTAACATAGCTTATGTCAGCTATCAGGTAATAGTGATGGCATCAAAATATTTGCATTCACATCCATCAAACATTAATGAGAAAACTTAAAGACTTATCAGGTTGATGTTTGTTGAAGATGATGTGGCAGCCGTGAAAATAACAGCTCTCAATATCTGCCACTCCGTGGGATCACACACACACACACACACACACACACACACACACACACACATTGTGATCCTGCTTTCCAGCCAGCGAATGAGCATGCAGGGTGATGTCAACCTGACAGGATCTGGATCACCTAGGAAACACACTCTCAGGCACACCTGGAGGGACCACTTAGATTAGGTCAATCGAGGTAGAAGACTCACTCTGAAAGAGGGCAGCCCCATCGCGTGGGCTTGGGTCCTGACTGCGTGGCTATCTTGCTGTGAGATAAAACACCGTGATCAGGCCGGGCGGTGGTGGCGCACCCCTTTAAGCCCAGCACTCGGGAGGCAGAGGCAGGCGGATCTCTGTGAGTTTGAGGCCAGCCTGGTCTACAAAGTGAGTTCCAGGAAAGGCGCAAAACTACACATAGAAACCCTGTCTTGAGAAAAAAACAAAAAAACCAACATGATCAAAGAAACTTGGGGAGGAAATGGCTTATTCAGCTTATGCTTCCACATCACAGTGCATCATCAAAAGAAGTCAGGACAGGAACTCAAATGGGGCAGGGACCTGGAGGCAGGAACTGATGCAGAGGCCATGGAGGAGTGCTGCTTACTGGTTTACTCCTCGTGGCTTGCTCAGCCTGCTTTCTTACAGAACCTAGGACCACCAGCCCAGTGGTGGCCCCACCCACAATGGGCTGGACCCTCCCCCATCAATCACTACTTAAGAAAATGCCCTACAGGCTTGCCTACAGCCCAACATTACCGAGGCATTTTTCTCAACGGAGGCTCCCTCCTTTCAGATGACTCTAGCTTGTGTCAAGTTGACATAAGACTAGTAGAATGGGCATTCATCCTTTTTGCTCTGCTGCCTCCTGACTGTGGTTGCAATGTGACCAGCTGCCCCAAGCTGCTGCCGCTATGATTTCCACCATGATGGACTATGAATGTGACTCTACATGAACCCTTTCTCCCAGGAGTTGCTTTTATCAGGATATTTTAACACCTCAACAGGAAAAGTAACAAATACATAGGGTGGTTAATACAGCTTTCTCTTCTATTCTCTTTAGCAGAATCTCTATTAGGCTACCCCATTGACTGCCCAGATTTCTTGGTACTATGCTCCTCCCTGAGATTCTTTGTACCCAATCCTCCATGCCCTTACTCTTCTGTTCACTGGTGTCAGGTCATACCTGCTATAGGAGGTATGAAGGTCCTTCTGGGTAAGCACTGGGGCAGTGGTTCTCAACCTTCCTAATGCTGTGACCCTTTAATACAGTTCCTCATGTTGTGATGACCGCAACTACAAAATTATTCTCGTTGCTACTTCATACCTGTAATTTTGCTACTGTTATAAATTGTAATGTAAATATCTGTGTTTTCTGATGGTTTTAGGTAACCCATGTGAAAAAAGGATTGTTCGACCCCAAAGGGTTAAAACCCACAGGTTGAAAACCACTGCACTAGGGGACCCTGAATTGTTAGTACACAGGCTTGTTCCTTCAAGGGAAGAAATGCTATGCTTGTTATCTGCCCAGAGGGCCGGGAATGAGAGTACATTCTAGCCTGGTGGGAGACCACACCAGACCCGCCCCAAGACCCTTATCCTAAGCTGGTTTTTCTCAGTCAATCTATAGAACTCATCCTTTTTTTTTTTGGTTTTTTGAGACAGGGTTTCTCTGTGTAGCTTTGCACGCCTTTCCTGGGACTCACTTGGTAGCCCAGGCTGGCCTCGAACTCACAGAGATCCGCCTGGCTCTGCCTCCCGAGTGCTGGGATTAAAGGCGTGCGCCACCACCGCCCGGCTTAGAACTCATCTTTATGGAAGCTGTCATATGTAGTCAGTCTAGAGAACCCATCTTTTAGCTGTCACATGTACTTTACAAATAATTTTGATGTAGTTTATTTAGTTTACTTTGTTCCTCAAAGAGATTTATGTATGCTTGTTTGGTTTGGTTTGATTTTTTTTCAAGACAGGGTTTCTCTGTGTAACAGCTCTGGCTGTTCTGGAACTCACAGAGACTCACCTGCCTCTGCCTCCCAAGTGCTGCGATTAAAGGCATGCACCACCACCTCTCAGCTTATGTATGCTTTATTGTGCACATGGGATTGAGTTAGTTATCACCAAAAGTGTTCACCAAATTTTGCTATGCTTAAATATGCCTAAAACAATGCATTCGGATCAGACTCTGGAAGTTTGAATCGACACCAGCTACTGAGTATGGTGAATAGACATGGTCTTCTCTCCGGTGGATCGGCCATCACTCTGCCCCTGTGGAGATCGCACAGACCCCTACGACTTGTCCCCCCATGACAGCTCACAGATGTCTCCCCCAATGAAACTCTTCAGGAATCGATCCTGTCTTGCCATCTGTTTCCTAGAGAATCCAAATGAACATGAGTAAGTTAAAAAAAACAACTGATAATAGACAGAAAATGTGGCACAAAGCGTGTGGCTATTTGTAGCATAATCATCATTCAAATAATTTTAGATGACTTGCAGGATCTCTGGAAAGGCATAAGCTGAGGTTTTAGGGTGAGGCTTAAACCAGGGCATGTTTTCATTGGCTTTGGTTGAACTGAACTGTGACCAGCACTTTTATTTACTTTGATATCTGTTGCTGGACTTACCGTGGGTCCAAATATAATAGTACCTACTATTGAACTTGTGACAATAAGCCTCAGATCATGCTCTTTTAGTAAAAAACAAATGTCCATTGGATGAGAAGATGGGTTTTGGGGCGGTGAGATGGCTTAGGGAGTAAAAGCGCATGCCATGTGAATCTGAAGTCGTGAGTTCAAATCTCAGAATTCACGTGAAAGTAAAAAGAGAGAACTGACTCCCAAAAGTTGTCCTCCGACCTCTACACACATCGTGGCATACATCTGCCTGCACACACATACCGCAACTAAATAACAGACTATACTATACAGCACTGTACCTAAAGAATTTGTTAAATTATTAGTTTGCAGGGAAAGAAAAGTTTGTGATAGCAATTACTAACCATTTATTAGCGTCGAATGATACTTTTATAGTAGGACTGGAATTTCCCAAGTGCAGGACAAGAACGGCACAAGCTGTTAGTTCAACCATTCTGACTGATCAAGTAGAAGAAAAGTAAACCACAGGTTTCTAAGAATTTTCTCCCCCTTTACATGGCTTACAGAATGCATGTTACAACAAGCTTAAAAATTAAAGAATCCTGCCGGGCGGTGGTGGCGCACGCCTTTAAGCCCAGCACTCGGGAGGCAGAGGCAGGCCGATCTCTGTGAGTTTGAGGCCAGCCTGGGCTACAGAGTGAGATCCAGGACAGGCACCAAAGCTACGCAGAGAAACCCTGTCTCAAAAACAAACAAACAAACAAATAAATAAATAAAATTAATTAATTAAGTTAAAGAATCCCGCACTTGGAAGGCAGAGGCAGATGGATCCCTGAGTTTGAGGCCAGCCTGGTCTACAGAGTAAGTTTCCAAGACAGACAGGGTTACATAGTGAGACTGTGTCTCAAAAAAAAAAAAAAAAAAAGTTGAAGAATCCTTTTTTTGTGAGGTGGATTTATGAGGGAGAGGCATGCTAGAAACTCAAGGTTATACACCATTTGGCCCTCAGAGGGCGCAGTTTACTTACTGTCTTTGACCAGATGTCTCCACAGGGACAAGGCTGGCTTATTCAGTGGTGCCTTGGATTCCTGACTTCAGTAGCAGGACGGGCGTGTGTCCTCAGGGCTTCCTTCTAATGCTCTTCCTCCCAGGTTTTCCTGCAGGCTCCTGTCTTTCTGTCCCTCCCCATTATGACCTTTCTTCTTTCACAGATATTTTCTGGGACTCTCACAAGACTAAAATTCTGTTTATAGAAAAAAAAAAATCTTAACTTCCCCCGCATCCTCTGAATCCTAGGGTGTGTTGACCTGGTGGGCTACAGTTCTGTCCAGTGCATAGGAACCTCCTGTGATCTTGTTCAGGTTCTTTCAAACCCCTTCAAGATGTAACTTCAGAAGCCCCCAAAACCTCAACAATGGCAACTATCACTGTGACTGTTCTCTGAGAAGCCCACACCCATGCTCTTCTTTCCAAGTGCCTTTCTTTATTTTAACCTGGTGCTTAAAAATGTCTTTAGTAAACTTTAATTCTCCTTCATACTGGTTGGTCTTGAAATCTGGCTTTACCTGAGTCCAGGCTCCTAAGAGCTGACAGGACCTCCTCAGGATGGTGCAGGCAACAGGTTGGAGATGTACCTCCATCCCCGTCATCTCTGTTAATCTGTATAATGTTGTGAAGGCCTTTAGGCCTCAGACGGGGTCACAGCCCATCCAATACTTTGTGTTCAGCTTGGTGAGGCCAGGGGAAGCAGCTCAGTTGACTAGTATCTGATCTCCTCATTCAAGAAAAATGGCAGTAATAATTTCTATTACTCCATGCTACTAATTTCTTATGCAACAATGAAAACTAGTAGAGAATCCAAGTTGTTGCCACTGGCACCTTGACCTCAAGTCTCTAGATAAATGTCTGGGTTAGCCTTAAGTTCTTGTGTTCTACCCAGCACCCACCACATTTTCCTTGTAAACTGAATGTGTGTGTGTGTGTGTGTGTGTGTGTGTGTGTGTGTGTGTGTGTGTATGCGTATGCGTGCTCATACAAAATTCCCAGTGAAATATGGCCAGACTCCTGCTATCTTATTTATAATAAAAGGAGTCCCACTACCTATTGCTTTAGAGAGGATTCCTCCCCTGTGTAGCCTCCCATGCCTGTGAGCTAATGCCTATTTATTTACTATTATGGTTTTGTACATAGTGATTAAGTCTACTGGGCTGAACTTCCTTATCTCCCCCCGGCCTGACCTGAGCTTGGTTCCTTAGAGCTGAGCCATTGGACCTGTCAGTAATATCAAACAATCCTGTCACTCACAGAACATTTTGACAGCATGTATATTGCTCCTTGCTTTGATTTGGAAACATCAGTAGTTTACCATTTTTTAAATTGCCCTATATATGTGTTGTCTTAATTCTTTTACAAATTTACTAATGAAATTATTTTGTGTACAGTAAATGTTTTTCAAAAACACGAAAAGATTCAGAATCTTTTTCTAGAATTTTTATTACTTTATTTCTGGGTGGCAGGGTTGGAAAGGCATGCATACCACAAGATGTATGTGGAGGTCAGAGGACAACTTTCGGGAATAGTTTCTCTCCTTCCACCAATGAGGTCGTCTGGCTTACTTTGCAATGTCTTTGACTACTGAGCCACCTCATTGGCCTTGGGATCTTCTAAGAATGAAAAAGCAAGTTCTACCTGGGTTCAGAGGTGGCAAGTGACTAATGGTCGGCCAAGTCACAAGATGTGCACCTGTGGTCCCCCTGCTTGGGAGACGGAGGTTTGAGAATGGTCTGGATGATATCATAAGGCTCTGCCTCAAATGAACCAACAAATAAATAGGTATAGGAGATGGTTGAGGAAGATAAGGCTGGGCCAGGTCAGGCTAATGTCCTGTGTGAGGGAAGTAGAAAGCTCTGCAGGGGACAGGGAGGTGACATGTGGGGATACTTGAGACTAACCGGACTCTATATTGTTCTAAGTACGTAAATTGTCACAAAACCTTTACCCATGTTTTCTTTAAGTGTGTCAAGAATTTCACACTATCTGAAGCTGAGACCACTTACTTAAAAAATTATTTTATGTGTATGAGTGTTTGCCACACATATGTATGTATAACATACTTGTACCTGGTACTTATAGAAGCCAGAAGAGGGCATCAGATCTCCTGAGACTGGAGTCACAGACAACTGTGAGCTGGGTAAGTTGGGTACTGGGAACTAAACCCAGGTCCTCTGGAAAAACAGCAAGTACTCTTAACTGCCGAGCCATCTTCCTGTCCCTGAACTTACTTCTGAGAACCATTCAGTTTTCTTAGAATACCCTAAATTATTTCTGTTTCATTTTTACTGAGAAATCTGAAACAAATTTACTAGAGATAGGAACGGATCTATAAGTACATTAAGTGCCAAAGTAACAGAATGAAGAAAAAAGATTCTGAACTCTTTCCCATGTTCAGATAGTTTCCAAAGTTTAGAATATCAAAAATGTGAAAAACTAAAATAATTAGAGAGAAGATAGATTATAGATTGGCTTTTTCTGATGTTCTGGCATGGCTCAGCTGCCTGAGAGGATCACCATGGCTCAAAGAGCTGCTCCAGTTCCTGTCAGGCCTCCCACACCACTCCACTTGTCCCCACGGCAGGAGCTGAGGAACCACGTCAAGGACAGGCCCCAGCAGAGATGCTGATGTGTGAAATGGATTGAATATTTCAGTAACCAGGAGCCAAGGCTTTCTCTACTCTCTCTTCAAAATATGTGAAGGTACATTTTTAGGACATGCTGAGAACCAATTCAAGGCTCAAATCATGACCCCAACTCTTTCATAAAACTTTCTTTCCTCCTCTAACTGCATAATATCCATCATACCAGAGTTCCTGCCCACTGACCTAATAGATTCATAGTGACATTAAGGTGCATGTTAATGTGTAATAACTCAATAGACTGTTAATTATATCAATAGATTCATTACCACTTGAAATTAAGCAAGTTCCTGAATATCATCTTTGTGTTATTAATTAAGCTTTTACTATGGAAATTATAAATACACAAAATAGAAAAGAACATAATACATGCCCCCCTCCATGAATTTACCCACGTGTAAGAGATATGGGTATTCATCAAGCTGTTAATCTTGGTTCATTCATGTTCTTATACATTTTCTCTATGTTTTGATACAGAGGAGTTAACACATGTCTAGAGATGAGTTCCTGCCTGGGCAGGCTGTCTGGGGTAGAAGGTGAAAAGAGGTGATTATTATCATGGAGGAATTATATTTTATGTGATATTTTATTTATTAGCTTTTTAGGTTAGCATACAAAGTAATGCGTTGCATTGTAGAAATGCATTATTTTATGAGGAAGCAAAGTGGGGCCTGTGAGATAGCTCAACAGGTAAAGACATCTGCAGCCAAGCCTGACATCGTGAGTTCAATCCCCAGGACCCACAGGGTCAAAGACCAGAACCAACTCTGATCTCCAAACAACGTGTTGTGGCATGTGCACATGTAAGTACATACACAAAAAAATAATAATTAGATTTTAATTAAAAAAAACTGATTGAAGGGGAAGAGACTCACAGGGTCCTGCCCTTAGTATTAATACACAGTCACTAGTTGATATTTCCTTCTGTGGTATAACCACTGGTAAGGTGTCTGTGCTTTCATAAGAAAACCCTAATGAAACTCATTAGATTACACATACATGCATACAACACACACACACACACACACACACACACACACACACACACACACACACACACACACACGCATAAGACGCAACACAGAAGTAGAAAGGGTTCTCGGGTGAATATCATCTAAACACACTGTAAAAACATAATAATGAAACCTGTTATGTATAATTAATATATGCTACTACAAACATTATTAAATGTGACAGCAAGCTTCCTAAATGTTCTTACTGCCTTCTAGTTTTGAGTCATCTTAAGTGAAGAGCATTGTGCCTAAGACCACGGTGAGGGGTTTCATGAAGTTTAAGAAATACACTCAACCCAGCACTCAGGAGGCAGAGACAGGCAGATCTCTGTGAGTTCAAAACCAGCCTGCTATACAGAGTGCGTTCCAGGACAGCCAGGACTACACAGAGAAATCCTTTCTCCAAAAACCAGAAACAAAACGGAAGAAAGAAAGAAATACACTCAAATTTTTGTCATCTTTTGCATCAGAAAGATTATTATCAGTTTAGTTCTCTCTGTACCATATATCCGTACATATCTAGTAATTTTCCCTTGGGCAGGTAGAAATGGGATATAACTCCCCTGTCATATCTAGAAGACTCAATCTTTCAGCAGACTTCCTGTTCCTCTGGCTCTTACAATTCTCATCATCCCCAATGATCCAAGAACCAGTACAAGTTGTGTGCTGATGTAACAACTGAGGCTGTGCAGTCCATAGTCAGTTGTTCTCTAAATGTTCACTAGTTGTGAACCTTTAGGAATATCTCACCTGCAGATCATTGTTGCACTTCAGAGGCACTACAGATGGGTAGGGATATTGAATGCTTTCCCCCCCTAGGCAGCTTGCATGGACCCTTCCAGTATTATGAGTGAGGAGGCTTTTGGGTAAGATCCAGCTCTGTTCCTCTGCATCCTGGGTCTGAAGTGCATGGTGTCTTCAGCAACAGGGACTTACCTTCAACTTCTCGGTGACAACTGATAGCCTATATTGTTTTTGGAATCTCTTAGAATCCCGTTTCTCATGCCTGGTACTATAGATTTTGTTAGATACTCTATGGCTCTTGGGGGGAATATGATTACCCTAAGTGGCATAATTTATAATTTCATTTAAACCATATACATATATATATACACACACCCTACATATACATAACCCCTACATATATATACCCTATATATATGGGTGTGTATATATGTATATGTGCATATACACATATGTTTATAGAGTATATATGTGTAAGGTATATATGTATGTATATTCATAAATTTATATGTATTATTTTGGTAAATATAAAATAATATGAAGCTGGGTGTAGTGGTGCATGTCTTTAATTCCAGCACTCAGGAGGCAGGAATGGGTGGAGCTCTGTGATTTCCAGGCCAGTTTTTGTCTACATAGTGAGTTCCAGGACAGCCAGGGCTACAAAGAGAAACCCAGAGACTCCCCCTTCTCTCTCTCTCCCTCCCTTTCTCTCTCTCTCTCTACACACACACACACACACACACACACACACACACACACATTCCTTATGACTTTTTGCAAGCACCCTTAGTATT